TTGCATGTGGGGGAAAGAACCAACCCAACACTCTGAACTCACATACCTTAATAGGGATCACCCCCGACGAAAACCACGACGATCTTGACGAAATCCTTGCTTCTTCTTCTCTTTCTCCTCTTCTTTCTCTCTTCTCTCCAAAACCCTAACTCTCACTTTTAATAAGGGAAAAGTGATTTAAAATCAGTCTAACACCTCAATATAACCAAAATAATTGGCTAGGGAAAAGACCAAAATACCCTTAAAATTTTCGAACTAAACTGCCCTGTGCGACTGTGTCAACATCCCAACTTCCAAAGGGCATAACTCACTCATACGAACTCGGAATTGAGCAAACTCAGCGGCGTTGGAAAGATCATTCCAAGGGATTTCCAGAAATAACTGGAAATTTTCCTAAATCATTCTGAGCAAGGAGTTATGACTGTTTGAAGTTGACAAACAAAAACTCATTTTTTTCCCATACTTAACTAAATTTCCAGATTCTGACTTCTTCAAAAAAATTACTAATTCCAATTATAAACTTCTTCATAGTTATTTCAAAGTGCACGACGTTACATGAATGTTAGATTTCCTAACATTAGGGGAGATATGCTTAGCAGTTGAAATTATGTGTGGGGTGAATTATCTAGATCCTCATTAAAGAAATGTGAACTTGAAGTTCAAGAGATAATTGATTCGCAAAATTTTGCAAATAATTTGCCAGATGTATTTGCTGCCCCAATATTTTAATTAAGCTACAAATGCTCCAATAAATAGTCCTTGAAGGACAAAGTCTATGGTACGCCAGAAGCGTGATAGACCAATCGATTCCAAACGTAAAATTCCTTGAGGAAGGAGATGAGCAAATTATCAAAATGGTCATGATAATGAGGTAAGTGCTTTGAAAAAGCACTATGACATAACACTTCATAAAACCTTGGCAAAGGTTCAGGTACCTAAAAATGATGAAAGATTAAGAGATCTCGATAAGTTATGTCGTATTGGAATCGAGTCAAATGACCGTCGACGGTATCTTTGATATGAAGTAGCACTCAATGCTATAAGTGATTACGAGGTTCTTAAATTCGAATCTATCATATAATGTGGACAAATAAATGATTGGCCAAATAAAATGCACTATTCAAGTATATTTTGTTTCACTTAGAAAAGTGATGTTTTTGAACTTATAGTTCATAGATCAAAATATATGTCAGTGGGGTACAAATGAATCATTGTGCAAAAGTATAACTGTAAGATATAAAGTACTGTTTGTGCCTCAGGGATTAAAGGATTTCTGCAGAAGTCCTGACATTATTAAATGGAGATATATTCTCCAGTGATGGATGCAATGAGACTTATTTCAGTCTGGCAATAGATGAAAGACTTGAATATGTATAATGACTGATTATCATGTCTAACTAGACGATGAAAGTTATATGAAATTTTTTGAATGATTTAAAAGGTCTTAAAACAATTCAACTGAGTACCCAATGGTTCTGAGATTGCTTAATCTCAACACAGAGAAAGAATCTTTTCAACCTCATGAAAATGATTATAAGTGCCATGTATTAGTGCAATTGGTGCACTTACAGATTGTTGGTTATGCAAATGCTAGAAGATTATTTGATATATATATATATATATATATATATATATATATATATATATATGTAAAGTTATGTGAGGGGATTGTCATTTTACCATTCAAGTTATGCCAAGAAACTAACAAAGCAAGTGACTCAACACATAGAAGATGTGTGATTTTCTTTGAGAAGAAAAAAAGAGCAACGTATAAAATTGAAATGATCAATCTCTGAGTTAGAAATGATTTGATTATGTAGATGCAGAATATTTATTTGATCTGCATAAACCTCGATTGCAAATGAGCTATTTGTTTACATATGGAGGCACAACAATATCTTGGCATTCAAAGAATCCAACATTGGTAACCACTTCTTCAAATCATACAAAAATAATATTGATCTATGAAGTAAGTCGGGAGTGTGTATGGTTGGAATCATGATCTATCATATTCAGAAAATATGTGATTTTCCTTTGTCAAAGGATATTCTAACCACTACATAAGGAAATAATATATAGCTCAATTGAAGGGAGGATATAATCAAAGGAGCTCAGACAAAACATATTTCACCAAAAGTATTTTTCACACATGATCTTCAACAAAATAGTGAGATAGATGTTCAAAGACCCATTCAAGTGATAATCTTGTAAACTTATTCACTAAGGATTGCCAACATCAATATTTGAGAAGTTGTGATGTAAGATTTGAATGCATCGTCTCCGAGATATCAAGTAAAGTTTTTATCAAGGGGAGAAAAATACGCGTTGTACTTTTTTCCTTAACCATGGTTTTTTCCCAATTGGGTTTTCCTGTTAAGGTTTTTAACGAGGCAACATTCAAAGCGTATTAAAAGATATGTGTACTCTTTTTCCTTCACTAGGATTTTTTCCCAGTAAGATTTTAACGAGGCATATTATCTATGGACATCCAAGGGGGAGTGTTATAAAATAATATATTGTGGATGTCCACTACATCAAGAAGTTACTCCATTACGTTCCTCCATTATGAAGATAACCATAACCTCCTTAACCTCCACCTTTATAACCATTATTCTTGTAACCTTTCACTTCCATAACCTCCCCATTATATTCATGTTAATGTCATGTTTATGACTAACCTTTTGTATGCCTCTATGTTACACTATAAATAGAGGCATAAGGGTTCATATTGTATACACTTAAAGATTTGGTGAACACTTGAAAGAAAGAAAATTATCTCATATTGTTCCTCTTGTCTTATATTTTTCTTGTCTTCATCTTTATATTGTTCTTTTGTTCTTAAATTTTATAACAAAAGTTTAATATTAATAAAACATGAAAAGTCCAGTCGTCTTTGCCATATTGTTAATTAAAAAGCTAAGTTTATAATTAAAAAGAAGTATGTGCATATTATGTTAATAAAAGTCTTAAATTGCATATTCTTGTAATTTTCATGAGAAGTAATTGACTATTTCAAAAAATATAATTTATACTCATAAGTTCTAAAAATCATTAACCTACCTTTATGTTTGTATTATTATCTTATAATGAACATGTTCCGTTAAAAAATAACCTTATAACATAATGATAACATCAACAACAACAAAATAACAATATGGGCAAGAATAATACATTAATCACTTATTCAAACTTGTCATTCATTCAAAATGAATTATAACCCATTAAAAACAAACTCTTCTTTTTTCTCAATCTTGTTATTAGTTATTAATGGCGTAATTTTATAGATAAATATTAGTTGGAATTAATAAATGATAGTGTTTTTTTTTATATAAAATATAAATTTTGGAGTAATTTTAATTTTTTAAAAAATTTCTAATATTAGAACTTGACCCAAGTTCTAATTTTTTCTAGTATTTGGAAACTTGAGATATTTGACAAATATATTTGTCAAAAGTGTTGTATGGCCAAACACCATTTTCCAAAAAAATTCCAAATATATTTGTGGTCAAACGAATCCTAAAACATGGGAGTTGAGATTTGTCTAACGGGAAAACTCCTTTAACACATTACATAATATTACCAACTTTCAAATACATACGATTTTATGAAAATTCATTGATTCAGTAAATCAATAATAACAATGCCTAACTAGTTGTTCTATGATATGGACAAAATGTTCACACCAAGACTTTTTTTCTTTTGAAAAATTTAAATTTACACTCCCCTCAAAATATAAACGTATGGATCAAATTAATTTTTTTTTAAAAATAAATAAAATGAAGTTACAAATTTGGAATTGAAATTCTACCTTTAAGTAGAAATTGAGATTTGGAATCAAAATTTCAAACTATAAAATTTAATTTTTTTTTCATATATCATAGATAAACACTAATTTCAAATCAAAATTCCGGGAAACTTCTTATAGATACGGCACAAGTTGTTGAGAATATAACTAAATAATAAAAGTGTGCTCTCTCTAATAGCTTAAGCTTTTAGATGAGATTGTCACACACTACAACGTAACCAAATTTTCGTTGTGAAAATGCGGACCAACCTTGAGCTAGTCAGTCATGTGAGCAGAACTGTTGTTCACGTTAGCTTTAAACATAAAAACACTCCCTCCGTTCCGTTAATCATTTTTCATTTTGTATGATGCATTCACAGAACTACAATACATGGAAAAAGTTTGAATTTAATTTGAAGATTATACTTTTCATGCCAAGTATAGTTATCAGGATTTTTTAAAATATTTTTCGCACGTATTTGTTGGGAGGTGTAAATAGAAAATCATGAATAGGTATTTTTTTCTGTTAAAAAAGAAATTATAATAACCGATATATTCGTTTCATTCTTATAGAAAGTAATCAAATCAAATACCTTAAATTAGTGTTTTAAAAGACGGGGTGTGAGGAAAGACGTTTTATACCGTATAGGGCAAGACGTAAGCCCCGAGACACGGGACGTAAGTCCTATAGATCTACAGGGCGTAGTCTCATGTATATAAAATTTTATAGTTTTATTACTAATAAAATAAGCAAAAGTAAACCTTTCAATGATTTTATGATTTCTATTTGAGATAAGTATTACTAATAATCAATAATGAAGAAAAAAAGTATTAGGGAAAAGAGTCTGAAAAATACTCTAACTTTGACGACTCTGGATTAGTATGAGAAGATCTTGTATAGGTCTCTCCTTCTCATCAATTTTTTTGGTGCAACTCTTACTACTAGTCCCACTAATATGTTAGAGATAAGGTTCATGTCCCCTCTGACCTCTTGTAACTTTTTGTTATACATTGATATAGTAGGGGTCAAGCCAAACCTCTGCACCAAAGGCTCACAAGTCACAACTCAAGTTTGACTAATTGAAAGCAACATATGTTTTGGAATTTTTCACTTGATTTTATATGGCATCTACTTCATATGATCTTACACTAGTAAGTTTTGCAGGACCTGTTTGCAGCAGGGACAGATACGACATCAAAAACATTGGAGTGGGCAATGGCAGAACTACTCAAGAATCCACATACTTTCGAGAAAGCACAAGAACAACTAGCACAAGTAATTGGCAGAGGCAAACTAATAGATGAAGCTGATGTTGCAAAATTACCTTACTTGAGGTGCATCATAAAAGAAACCTTTCGAATGCACCCACAAGTTCCTTTCCTAATTCCGCGCAAAGTTGAGGAAGATGTTGATCTTTATGGCTATACTATTCCGAAAGACTCACAAGTTCTTGTGAATGTATGGGCAATAGGGCGCGACTCTAGTCTAAGGGAAGACCCTTTGGACTTTATGCCGGAGAGGTTTTGGGAGTCAGATATAGACGTTAGAGGTACGGATTTTGAGCTAATTCCATTAGGTGCTGGTAGAAAAATTTGCCTTGGATTGCCTTTGGCTATCAGGATGATTCCAATCGCGCTAGGTTCATTGATAAATACCTTTAATTGGAAGCTAGATGGTGGAATTGCACCTAAAGATTTGGACATGGAGGAAAAATTTGGTATTACCCTGGCAAAAGCTCAACCTCTGCTTGCTATCCCTATTCCACTGTAGATGTTAGTAGATCAAGATACTAGAATATATATTACGTAAAATATATTCTAGTGTATATTATGTCTATAATGAGCCATAAACATTGGATGTCTCTCAAAATGCTATATAAGTCATTGTATTTGTAGATCTATATATAGTTGTGTATCCTTGAAATAAGACCATGTCACCACCAAGGGTTATGTATTCTTTCTGGGTTTCAGTAATGACAATATTATTTGGAATAACTATTTTAGCCAATCATGACCTATAAACAAGAACAAAGGAGTAGTTCATAAATTATAAAATTAGAAATTTAGCATAAGAAAGTAGTCACTCATCCTAATAAGAACCTTCTAAAATACATTGTTGAAACTATACACAATACAACAACACATACTTTTAGTTGTAATAGATTTTCAGGCATAATACATAAACGTGTTTTTTTAACTTGGTCTCAACTGATAATGTCCTCCAACTTTGAAGGTGCAAACATAGTTTCACGATCCGAGCCTACACCTTGGACGTGGCCGGCACTCGAGAACCATTGCTAGTCCCCAAGCGAACCCTCATTCTGGCTGACTAAAAGTGGAAGACTAACTCATGCATACACAAGCATCATAATGAAAGAAATGCTAAAACAAAATGTAATATATCTCAAAACTCTATGAATATAATGAGTATGAAACATAAGTTTTAATAAAAAATCTGAAACTGAAAGACTTTTCAAAATTGTCTATCTATGATGCCTCTACTATACAAAGATGAGTTTCGGGACAAGAGCCACAACTCCTCAAGAGAACTACTATTAACAACTCATACAGTGAATTGTCATACAATGGCCTCTGAAAATTGATGAAAAGTGAAATCCCTTTGTCAATAAAATCTGAAAATTCCCAACCCTAATCTAAAAATATTTCACCACCCTCTCTATTTTTTAACCTAATAATTACTTAAATAGGGAATTGTCATACAATGGGCTCAAATCGTGGGCTCGAGATTGTGGCCCAAAATCGTTGGTCAATCTGTGTATTCAAATTTTATTCGTATTTGAATGAATTTCTAGAATATGCAAAATATCAAAATGACTATTAACAAATGTAACAAATACAAATGAATATTAAAAAATGTAATGAACATAACCAAAGATGTGTAAAAAAAATACAATTTAACATAAATAATGATTTAATCAAAATGAATAAATATTTGAACATATTCAACCGACTATGACAAAAAATAATGTAATTAAAATTAACTGATAAAATATCCTGAAATTTTGACAAATAAGTATAAATATCGATAAACTTATTTAAAATTATAAAAAAAAAATTGTATTTTGAACTATTCAATAAATAGAACTTAAAAGTTACGAATTTTGAAAATGTTAGGCCAAAATTGGGTGTCAACACTAAGAACCTGTATTTGCATCATTAAAAGATGTAGATCGAATGACATCTGTACATTGAACGTACGAGTTTGTAATATAGTTGAACAACAAATAACTGAATGAAAGGACTGCAATAGGTAACAAAATGTACTCAAGTTGAATGTAAAGAAATAAAGAAGTTAAATCATTTAAAGTTTTACAAAATATTTTCTCATCTCTGAACTCAACATAATAAGTGATATATTAAAATACACTTTAACTCTATTGGGAGATTCTCTAACTGACATTCATCACTATGAGCTACATGATGATACATCGTCTCGGCCACGTTGCCAGAACTGTCTTATACCTTGTCGGGATATAGGACACCTCAACTAAGTGGATCCACTAAGCAATAAGACTTCATCTAAAAAGTATGATCCCTTACCCATGTTGGCAGACATGGTTTATGAGGATTTTGAGTTGTCTGAACTCATCTCTATATCGGTGCTCAATACTACTCCCAATGATATGCTCATGCTCAAATGTATAAAACATACTCTTTCTCTATTTTGAGGTAATTACTTAAAATAACTTCTTAAAAGTGGTAACTGCTATGAAATATCTCTGAACTCATTAACTCATTTAGAAATCAAAGTTTCTCTTTTCTCAATGTAAAAATTGATATCTTTGGGAATACCTAGTATCCTTATACTCTTTCTCAATTCATATTTTAAAACTCTTTCTCAGAACTATATAAAAAATGATATTGTGATCTGATCATTTAAGACTCAGGAAGTCATACTGCATAAACATTAATGGCATATCTAGATACCATACTTCTTAAACATTGATGGAATACTCGACTGTCATACTAATCATGTTTTAAAATTCTTTCTCAAACTCCTCCTTACTTTCTCAAAAACTCAGTTTAAAACAAAAAATGTTGAAGCTTCTCAAAATTTATAATTCAATATAGAGTTCATGTTGAAATATAGACATGAACAACTCAACTTAAGGATCTCATAACAATATAGAAAACTCAATACTCAGAACTCAAGAACTCAACGATACTACTCAGCTCAAGAATACTCAATTCATAGGGTTCATATTGAAATATAGACATGAACGAATCAACTCATCAAGAATCTTAGTGTATAACATATAAAAATTCAATGATTAGGAATAGAATTTCAAAAGAATCAGGAACTCAAGAACTCAAAATCAACTCATCTCAAGAAAACTCAAATCTAGGTATAGAATCGTAGATTACTTTTTTACTGATTTAAAAGTAGATGTAGGGCGTGATGACGAACTAGTCCAATACTATGATAGCCTTACATACCTGGAACAACAAGGTTCTTGACGAATCTTGAAGAATAACTCGATTAGAAGCCTTGAAACCCTAGCTTGAAGGAGAACAATCAAGAAAACCTTTCTTGAGATTCTTGAATTAGTTTCTTGAAATCTCTATGGACAAGAATTAGGATTTTCATTACTAATTCATAATTGTATGAAGAAATTTGAGTTGTAAAGAATTAAATTCTTGGAGAAGGACTTACCTTGAAGAAAAATCTTGAATGGAGGTCCTATGCTTTAATTTTCTTTTAGGGTTTTGCCTAAGTGTTTTAGAGAGAAGAGAATGAGGGATTAAGAGATGAAATCTGATTGCTTTGGGCCTTTAATTGGTCAAGAAATTCATTTAGAATTTTCTTAGAGGTAAAAAGGCAAAACGACATTTTTAATGTTTTCCCGTCGGCTAATTCGTCATTGCACTGTATCAGGTTACTAAAATGGTCATAACTCTTTACTCAAAACTCGAATTGACGCAAAATTGGTGGCTTTGGAAAGAAGATTCAAATACTTTTAATTTTATAGGTTATGGGTCACGTAACTCTTTATATTCTAGGATATATGGTCATTTGACGTTGATTGAAGTAGAATCTTACATCAAAACTCAATTGGTAAGGATACTTTCAACTCATCTTTGTGCTTGGAGATTCTAGTGACCTTAATTGATATCAAAAATCATTCCACACTAAAGAATTGACCTTTACACATATGGACAATTTAAGAATCACCCGATATGATCTTATTCACAAATGAAGAATGGTTCGGGTCTTAACTTAAAATTTTTTGGGGTGTTACACACAAACACTTTAACTTGTATAAAATTGACAAATAGACACATATCTACTATGTGCACATGGTGTCCTACATGAAAATTTGTGTCCTACATGAAGTTCTATATGTTAATTAAGATGCATGTGTCTGCTTATTTAATTTATACAAGTTTAAGGGCTTACTTGTGCACAACCAAAGTTGGAGGGTGTAAATATCAGCTGAGGTCAAATTAAAGGGCACACATTTGTATTATGCCTAGATTTTTCTTTTATCTATAAAGTTATTGCCGTAGATATCGGCAATTGAATTAATACGAAAGAAACAAAGTAAATGGCATTGTGTAGTCCTATGACACGTGAACACTTAGTGGTGTCGTTGTTATAGGGAGCATGGTGTCACGGCCTTAGACTTCTACTAAGCACACCGTGCAGGACTTTATAACTTGCTCACGAGTTTTTCACGATCTTGCAAGCTCAAGTAAGCCTTTTTGAAACTAGACCGCTAAGGGACTGAAGAAAGAACCAAGATAATTTCCTCTTTATCTCCACTGCCTCTATCATGCTTGTCTTACTTAAAATATGTCAAAGTTTTGAACCTGCGTGATGCCTTCATCAATAGTCTTCACATGTCGGTGTTCCAACTCCGTATTGGCCCAATTTTGCAGCTCATTCATGAAGTAGAACAACATATCTTCATCTATGTGGTTGGGAATTTGAAGTGTGAGGGTGATAAACTCCTTCACATATGCTCATATGCTGCCTATCTGCTTCAACTCCCAAAATTTGTGTTTTGCCTCATAGATAGGTTGTTGGGAAAGAAGGCATTCTTGAACTCGACGCGGAATTGCTCGACTCAAGACTTGAAAGAATTCCTTGTTTTTTCTTGTTGAATTTACAAATGGTTGTCCCTATATTTATACTTCTAATTTAGGGGTTTATATGCAAATAATAATTGTTAGATAAGTCTCTATATATTTACTAATAAGCTCTTATTCTAGAATTCTCTGCATAGTTAGAAGATTCCAAGGACTTTCATGCAAATCCATTGAATTCTAGGATCTACCATGGGAATTCTCCACGTTTCTCTAGAACCTTCCATTATGGTGTAGCCTTCTTCCTTTGTAAGACCTCTGGAACAACCTTATATCATGTTACACTTACGTGGCGTGATGACGTGACTGGTCCTCACAATGGGCTCTTATAAACTCTATAACTCTCCCAACACATTGCACAAACAACGGCAACATGGAGGAAAGTAGAGTAATACTCAAAATGACTAAATTGCCTTTGTCGGGAAAATAGCATATATGTAGCAAAGTTTGTGAAGTAGTAAATATGGGCAGAGCATCTTTCAGGACTCCACTGAATTTGGTTTCTAACACCATTTTCTCTTAAGATTTGATTGATCCATTTACGATTCTGCTAAGAAATTTAAGGAATTAGTATGGAACATCATGGTCGAGGTTGGTAAACCCAATTCGGTTGACTATTTCCCTTTTCTTAAAAGGATTAATCCACAAGGTATAAAACCCAAG